CGCCCGCCTCCTAAGCCCTCCAGGCTGCAGGGGCCTGCGGCACAGAGACCAGAGCTGGAATGGCAGCTCCACAGACATGTCCACCTGGCTCAGGGCATTGCTGGACACGATGGAGTCCCAGGCCATCCCCCATCCCACCTAGAAGCCAAGGGATCCTAGGGCTTCCCTGTGAGGTGAGTTGTCCCCAGCATCCACCTTTACCAAGACCCTAGGATTTGAGAAGACCCCCTCTCAGACAGCTAAGCCCCTGCAGTCATCACACCAGGCTGCCTCTTGGAGACAAAAGGTCCCTTCCTTACCCAAAGACACCAGAATGCCATAGTTCTCCTGCATGACTTCCTGGTAGAGGCCCCGCTGGTCTGCGTCCAGTCTTTCCCACTCCTCCAGGGAGAAGTACACAGCTACATCTTCAAAGGTGACCAGTCCCTGAAAAACAGAGCCCCAAACACTGCCCTCAGCTGCCCCAGCTGAAAGGCTGAGGCAGCCCTCCACAAAGAGAGCCACGGGAGATGCAGGCAGTAAGAATGTTCTGAGGCCCTGCAATGGGAGTATCAGGGGGACACAGATGCCCAGATGCCACTGAAGGCTTTCAGACCTCACAGCAGCCCCGGGAGGCAGGGACCCCAATCCCAGCCAGAGATTAGGGACTCAGGCTCAAAGAGCATTAATGACCCACTGGAACAGGGCAGAACCAGGACTCACATCGAGGTGAGAAGACAAGAAGCCCAGCCCCCCAGCCCCTTCTACCGCATGCCATTTGGTTCAAGCCAGTGCTGGGGTCACATCAGCAGCAGAGGGCCCACTCTGGATGGCTGAGTAGCACCATCTAAACTGAGTGTGGACACTGGGGCCCAATCTGGCCAGACAGCAGGAAACTAGACCCCATGCAGGTGACAGGCATTCCAGGTGAGGGAGCAGCCCAGCCTTGGAGGAGAGCCAGGCCTCTGAAGAAACTGCATAGTGCAGTTGAGTGGGTGGCGGCCAAAACAATCAGGACAATCCAATGGCCTAGGAAGAGCCAGGCCCCAGGAAAGCAGAACCACATCCTCTGGACATGGATGTGGATGCCCAGTCACTCCCTGCAGCCCTGCCCCGCTCAGAGCCTGAGCCCAGCCTGAGGATCCTGGTGCCACGGCTACTGCCAACAGCAGTCTCCAGACAGCAGGTGCCGAGGCCCCTGGGGAAAACCTGCCTGGGTTACCTGAGCTCCAAACTAAGAGGGCACCTCACCTGAGACCCAGCTGCCAGGAAATCATCCTCATCCTCCTCCTCCTCTTCCTCCTCCTCCAGGTCCTCATCCCTAGGAGTGGCTGGAACCCAGGAGGCCTGCAGAGCTGCAGGGAAAGACCTCTTTGGGGCCAGCTGTCCCCACCACCCGGCTGGGCCACCCAGCCGCCTCGTGCCCAGCCAGCAAAGGGATAGCAGCCTCAGTATGCCGCATTTCAAAACCCGGCCCTCCGCTCCAGCTCCAGCCTATCAGCCCAAGAGCTCTCCCCGGCTTGGCCAAGTCCCTAACCTGGCCCGCCCAAGCCCTCTCCACCTCCTCCCCCAGGGGTTGGCTCCTTGTTCTTACCCTTCTCCTGAAGAACTGGCGACTGGGCATCACCATCACCAAGTCGCTTCTGGGCCTCCAGCACCAGACTTGGCTCCTCCGCCAGCACCTCCTCCACGTCGTCGTCGTCTTCTTCCTCCAGTTCCGCCTCCACCTCCACGTCTGCCTCCACCTCCAGTTCTGTCTCCACCTCCAGTTCCGCCTCCACCTCCACGTCTGCCGCCACCTCCACCTCCGCCACCTCCTCCACCTGCGCCTCATCCACCACCTCCACCACGTCCTCCTCTTCTTCCACCACTATCTCCTCTTCCTCTTCTCCCTTGTCTTCCTCCTCCTCCTCCTCCTGGTCAGGACCACATTCTGACGCGTCCTCTCCCCTCTCCAGCTGGGCAGCTGGGGAGTCTGGGGTCGTGTGAAGCGCTGCCATCTTCCCTGGGAGCGAGCCTCCGTTCAGCCTGAAACACAGATGGCCACAGGTGATGCTCACAGAACACTGCAGGGTCCTTTCATAAGGCCTCCTGCCAGTTCTAGGGGACAGGATTGACCACCACCCCATTATGTAGTTGAAGGCAACATAGATGAGTGAGGATCCAGCTCTTTCCACGAACTTACACTGCACAGCAAGACATTCTGTTCCCGAAAGGACTGCCCAGAGAGCTCTTCCCCATGAGACCCTGGCACGTAGGTCTCAGCTCTTTCTTACCAGCAACTACATGCCTGGTATGAGCAGCTGCTCTTTCTTGGAGTAGAGCAAGCATTTATCCCAGAGTCTTTATCCCCAAAGATCACGGGAAGCATTGAATCCAGGCAACCCAGCCCAAAGTGGCCATGGTTAGCGGAAAGGTGTGAGCGCAGCCAGAAGAACAGCACACCTGATACGCAGAGCAAAGACGCTTACCTGGTCCTCAGCACACATGAACCAGGCCAGCAGGAAGGGGAGAGGTCTGAGCATGGACAAGCTGCGGACACTTGCAAAGCACCACAGGGCAGAGAGGAGGGACAGGTGAGAGAAGCCAGCAGGTCAGGTTCCTTCCTGCAGGATGGAAGAGCAGAGGCTGTGAGCAGGCATCACCTCTCATCTGCCGGTGCCCCTCGTTGTCCCAGACATTTGGAAAGAGCACAGTGCATCATGGAGAGCTGGTTCAATGCTGGGCTCTGTGACATTTCTTCAAGCCGGGGGATCAGAGGCTCCTAAGGACTGAATTGTCAAAGCCCCAGAGGCGACAAAGTCCTACTCTCCCACTCACATCACTGACAGCTCAGCCCAGGGCCTCAGGGGAGATGCAGCCACAAGGTCACATGCTCCAGAGCCCAGGGCCACAGACACAAGCCGGCTGGGAGGCCAGAGCCCCTGGGGCACTTGTCCCTCTCAGTTGCATGTCCTTCGCCAGCCCCTGTGGTGTCGCAAGGGCAAGCCACTCACAGTTTTGATGAGTCAGTTCTGTGGCTCCTTTCTGGGTATAAACCTGAGACGGGGCTCATCACCCAGCACCCACGCTACCGCATCTCTGACCTCAGCGGGGCCATTTGCAAAGCAAGCCAAGCCCATCCCAGAATCCTGGAGGTGAAGGCATGAACCCCAGGAGGGTTCTGGAATGTCAGGCCACATGACCACAGAGCCACTGGGCCCACCCCAGCTAACTCAGCTCCACCAGTGGACAGCACCCACCACAGAACACCTGGAACAAGACTGGGTGCCTTCATGGAACAATTCAGACCACTGGGCCCTATGTTCTTAAGGACATATAAGAAAGCTGCTCTGTGGCCGGGCTCGGTGGCTCAGCCTGTAATCCTAGCACTTTGGGAGGCCGAGGCAAGCAGATTGCCTGAGCCTGCGGGTTCGAGACCAGCCCAGGCAACTTGATGAGACCCCATCTCTACAATAAATCAAAAATTAGCCAGGTGTGGTAGCACATGCCTGTAGTTCCAGCTACTTGGAAGGCTGAGGCAGAAGGATCGCCTGAGCCCAGTGGGTCGAGGCTGCATTGGCCATGAGTGTGCCACTGCACTCCAGCCTGGGTGACAGTGAGACTCCGACTCAAAAAAAAAATCTGCTCTGTGATGAGCTCTCCCTCCATAACCCAACACATTTCTGTTAATAAGGCAGCAAATACTCATTTTCTGAACTGCCTTGAGCTGTTGCTTCAAAATCCACACTTTAGTAGCCTGGATACTCCAGGCACTCATGCAGGCCCACCCAAGCCCAGGGCTGGGCCAGAAGTGACCTTTGTTCCGACCATCACACTCACCCCCTCACTGGCTCCAGACCCCATTCTAGTTTCAGAATCACTGACTCAGGTCACAGAACTATGCCCAGGAGGGCCACCCCGGCCCCCAGCTATCCCAGAAGTCCACCATAGCTCTGAGTGTGTGAAGATACCCGAAGCATAGAAACAAGCGTTCCACGTGTTACCCTAGCCACCTCCAAACGTGTGGCCTGGCACTCGGGGCACTGGGAACACTCAGCAGCAGTTTCCCAACTGCCACCCACCTGAGCCCGAGGGGAGGGCTTTTCTCACTCAGGCCTCGGGCTGCAGGTTCAGGCTGAGATCAGCTGTCATGCCAAGCCCAGCTGAGCCACCTCCTGCTGGGCCACCACCCGGAGTAGCAACTTCAGACTCCCATGGCCACACCACCATACGTGAGGGCCCAACGAGAAAGGAAAGTTTCGTGGCTTTAGACTGAAGTGACCTTTGCGTGTGCCACTCCCCTTCCCTAGAACTCTCTTCCCTGTCTCCAGCGATCCAGAAGCGGCACTCCTGGGCCCCTGTCATCACACATGGCTCCCTGTAGTCTTTCCTTACAGCACCCACCACATCTTTTATATACTTGCAGAGCTGTCTTGTCGTCTCTCTCCCCGAGTAGTCAACTCCAGGATGGCAGGAACTCCCTCTGCTCATCTCTGAATCCCTCTATGCCAGGCACTCAAATATGCATCAAATACTTATTTTTAAAATGACCCTAAAGTCTTTTCAATACAATGAACGTGAGATTTTAAAAACTCAGTGTTTTGGCCCCACTATCACATTCCAGAACAGGCTGGCCACTGCTGGGGGGTCCTTTGAACTGGAACCCCCAGCAACAGCAGAGTCTCTGGCTCCAAAGAAGACCCTGGGTAAAGTCCGCTCTCCCAAGAAGTCACCTCACTGATGACCAGAGAAGGGAGAGGACCACCCCTGCAGAGGTCAGCAGTCTCCCGGCAGACAGGCCTGGGGCCGAGCATAGCCAAACACCTCATGTGCCCCAACCCAAGATCTGGAACAGAACACATTGAAAAATGGACCTCAGCGGGCAGCTCAGAGTTTATATTCCTGCAACTCGGGGTCTGAGTTTTCTGCCTCCCCCAGACCCACACATTCTCCCTTCTCTTTCCAGCCTAGTCCACTGGAAACTCACTTTGCTCACTTCTCCTTTGACATCTGATTCCAGGTCAGAAGCCACAGGGGTCAGGTAAGCAGGCTCAGCAACGCAAATCCCTGTGTCATCTCAGACCCTTGTTCCATGGGGTCTACACCCTAGGATACAGCGCCGCAGACATTCAGAACTTCCAAGAAAAGGGAGGGACAGAGGACAGAAAGAAGTGGCAACGGTTGAAAACTGCTAGAAACTCCACATACATCTCAAATCCACGGAAATTCACCTAGGAGAGCAGAAGCATATGTGTGGGTGATATATCTAGTCCCCTTCTTTCCCTTTGGGTAGCCGCACTGCCCTCAAGGCCCTCTGGGTCTTCATACTCCAGGAAGATTTCCTTCCCTGCCCACCACCATCCTCACTGTCTGTCCACAGATTTCAGCTCTCCTACTCCCTTTGTTGTGTTCCTGGGACAACTAAACCCATAGGGGCCACCCGACCCCAAGAGCAGCCCCCTCACCACCCCAGCCAGCTCCCCAGACCTGCCCACACTTGTTGACCCAAACCAAGCGCCAAGGCCACCCCATACAGCCAAAGCTCGGGGCCTCATCTTCCTGGTACCTATACCTCCCTATCCCCTCGCCTATAGGGTCCTGGACCAAAGGCCGGCCCCTTTCCTACCTCTGCTGCCACATGGAGCAGCCCAGACACCATCCGACCCGCGGATGGGTGTCCCCACCCACCTGCCGGCAGCAGAAGGCAGCACAGCAGCCCGCCGGGACTTGCTCTGCAGGTGAGGGAAGGCTCAGGCAAGGCCCCCCAAGGTCACAAGGCAGGCTCGTGGGGGCGGCAGACCAGGCGGCCTCCCCCCTCCCAGAGGGCTCATCGGGCCTCCACCTCCTGCAGAGGCCCGGGCGGTGACAGCCCCTCCAGGATGGGTGTGTCACGCGGGAGGTGCGGCCCAGCCCCCGCCCCTGCGGCCGAGCAGGCGGCGACGGGCAGGTCCCGAGGTGTCGCGCGTGTCCTCCGCGGCCCGCCCCTCCGCCTGCTGCCGGGCCGGGCCACGGGGGTCAGAGCGCGCCCCAAC